TTATATGTGTGCTGGTTTAAGCCGAAATCCATCTGTTAAAAAAGAAAAAAAAAACAAACAAGCACTATACACATACATGTAAGCGAGTGTCACAAGCTCAGAGGTGAAGTCAGGGAGAAGGAGCCCATAGGATTGTAAGTGCAAAATGGCTTCAGTTCATTGCACCAACATCTGAAGGCCTCTATTCACCCGGACGCCCATGGGGCAGACAGCGTGGCATTAAGCCAGCCCAGTTTGCTCTCCTCTGCCAACTTACTTCAGCCCTGACCTGGGGTGGAAGGGAAGGGGAGCAGACTTGATGGGGAAAAGAGAACAATTTATTCTCTGTGGTTATTCATTTTGTCAAAGACTTATCATGGCAAGAAGCGACAGTTGTGAGCAATTACGTGTTAAAATTAAGACCTGAGCTCTAAATCAGAAAGAAACATTTATGGGTAAATAATTGCCCAATATGAAACACATGGAGGCCAAATCTTTTGTCATTCTTTATTTTTTTCCAGCTGAACATTTTATGCATAAACGTATGAATGCAATGGAAGTATTCTGCTACTTTGTAACAAAACTTCAGTTTAAAAACTGAAACAAAACATAAAATTTTTTTATTGATCCATTTTTATATTTCTGAGATGTAATTCCGTATACTTTTAATATGACTTATAAAGGTTTGTAAATTATTATAATTAAAATGTTTTTTCATTTTTTTTATAAAACAGAGCAGCACATGATATCATCTAGGTTTGCATGCCAGACAGTTAATGGTAAATATTAAAACAAATAAATCTTACACAGACATAATCAATTCCTCTTGATATAAGAATTGAATACATCTTGGAGATTTCACAACCGTTCTGTCAAGACCTTTTCCATAAATCAAGTTTGTGTTTGTAAACATCTGTCACCCTATCGCTTTCTCCTAACAGTTCAACTTTACAGTGCAAAATTATATATAAAAGTATATATAATAGTTGAAGAGAACCTATATGTAAGTTGATGGCTAAAACCAATTATGAGCATTGTTAGAATCAATGAAGAGTACTTTCAGGCCTGGCCCTGTGTATAAGCAAGTATAAATTGTTAGCTGTCTTAGTGGAATTATGTAGACTGAAGATTGTGTGGACTGTGCAGACTATAGACTGCACTTAGACCCACTCAGCAGACTAGGGGAAAATCACTTTCTTTTTTTTTACCTGTTACTGTTCAATTTTGGTCGTCTCATTTTCAGATGATGTTGTGACCCACACACAGAAATAAATATATTTTCCTGTAGATCTAATAACTCTAACTGGGGAACCTTATTTCAAAAAACACCAGAGAGAGACATAGAAATATGTATTCACATATATTTTGGTGACTTTGAATATTTCAACAGGACTGTTATCTTATTGTACAGTATGGCACACAATACTTCACTCAAGCACCAAGCACATCACCATCAAGAACAAATGAAGTTTCCAGATCTCTTCATTAAACACAAGTTATAAACATTATTATAACCTGTTATGTTCTGTAATGTAGCCATACATGATAAATACAACCTAGCTGAGAGATAGTAATAGCGAAAGCCTTACTGTAACATTTGTAGTATTTTGTGTTTTGTTTCATATTTTACTTCTTGTCTCTTGCAGTTTTACACTAGAAACATACTATATAAATAATCTACGCCATGTTGCTAAAATGATTCAGGTAAAAGTTTTGCATTTTGTACACAAATAGACAACCTTGTTGTGGTAATTTAGTTCTATGTCAGGCTGTGAGCTTCACATTTTCCTGAGTGCTAAGAATTCCCTAAAAAAGTGCCCCCTCTTTGTGGGAGATGCTTTTTCCTGAAGACCTCCAAGACCCTTCTCAAACACAAGGGCTTTTAGCTTGCCTCCGCTAATGTGATAAAAAATAACAGCTCGCCAGATCTTGTTTTCAGAATCTGTCTGTCATTCTACAGAACGTAACATTGTCTTCCCTGCTTCTCTTTCATTCCTTTCCTGCATTTGTGATGCTCTCCTACAAAAGCTAAACAACCATATTTCTGCAGAAGTAAGTAGTCAGAATTATTGATCCATTATGCGTGTTTATTGTGTTAATGCTTATTGACTAATTCAAAAATAATATTTTTGCTTTGTATACGTAAACAAAGTTATTTTATAGAATTTTTCTAACCATTTCCTTTTTGTATAATAAGAATGGATTCTTCCTGTGCTTAATTCAGATATGTCACCTTTTTGCTATATAACAATATACCAAAATGATGCAAAAATTCATTATACATATGTTTTCTGTGTTCATCCAGGCCAGTGATCCCCTTCTATAGTTTACAGGACTCCCTTAATCGTCTGAATTGACTTTTAAAGCTTAGTTGATTTTTCATTACTTGTTGATCTTGTGTCTAAATTGTTAATGCTTTCAAGCCCATTGACTTTGGCCCCTGGAATAAATGCATGTTTTTAACAGCAAGGTGAGCTTTGACAAAATAAACTATTCCTCGCACAGACTGACAAACTAAAGCCGTTATGGCTGATTGACGGCCATTGCAAATTCTGGGCAAACAAAACTTGAGCACAACAAGACAAAATAAAATAATAAATAAATAATAGAAAAAACAATTACAGAAAATGTCATTATGCTTTTCGCACAAATGATCAGACTGAACAGCCTGAATTACATGTCACAAACCTCCAAATAGAAGTGCAAAGGCTTCAGTTGCATGCAAAAATTCTCTTGCCCTTTCTCAGCTGGGGTGAGAAGGCTGGCTGTTACAAAGGCTTCTGGGCCATGCGACATGTTATTTGCCACTTCGGCAGCAGGCTCAGTTTGACGGGCCAATGAGGTCGCAACAGACAGGATTCGCTGCCAATAGCCTGTAAGAAGAACTGATGCAGGGGGTCCATGGGTCATTTTGCCTTAGTGTTGTGATGAGCCGTCCAAGGTTCACAACATTCAAACAGAACATCTGCAAGCCACGATGTTTGGGAGCACCACCGAAATAAATAAAACTCATAAGAAAACAGAGAAAATAGCCATATACTAGACAGCTCCTTCTGTGACATCACAGGGCCATTTGTAGGGTGCTCTTATTACCACTATGGCCAGGAGCTACTTTACATGCAAACATGCCATGTGGAGTCAAAGCAAACGCTGCAAGAATGTCTGTAAGTCAAAGGAATCATGTATCATGAATGAAGACAGAAAAATAAAACAAACATACTGATACTTAAACTGAGAATTCTATTTTTAACTGGTTTCATTCCATATGATTCACCAGATTACTTTTTGTTTACAATTATAGCTCTGTTTACTTTATAACTCCAGATAACAGTGATCACGATCACTTTAAAAGAGGAGACTTTATTTTGGCCGTTACCTTGCAGTACTCAGAACCAAGGAATCATTGCAGTGATACTAGCAGTGTTTATATGTGGCAGGAATTTCGACAACTTGTCAGCTATTCCTCGTCAAGTGAAATGTTAGCAGCAAACTCCAAGATTCTGTGACATATCGAGTAGCTAGCCCTTATCTTGTGGGTGTAATGTAATTCAAAGTCAATAGGGCGACACAATGGGGAAAAGCTTTAGCGGGCCTTTGATTATGTACATGCCTGTGGGCTAAAATTCATATTCCACTAAGATACTACATTCCAAAGCTGAAATCAAGTTGACATAACACTTGCTAAGCTTGTTAAAACCATGACCCATGGAATTTCATCTTGCCATTGGCACAGCTAACTGGTTTAGATTTAGTAGTAGGATGGTGAGGAGAAAAATATACTAGCTGGAAATGAAGAAGAATAAACTGCCTTGGCTAAGAAATACTGATTTTAAAATTCTAGACAGGAAGGTTGATTTATGAAGATGTATGATAGCTCATATCCTCCTGAAGCTAGTCAGTTCATCAGTATATTACAAAATTAAGTGTATTACTCTTCAATACATTGCACAATAACGACTGGGTAGTTTAATTTATTTGACAGATGAATGGGGTATGTTACAACTAACACTTTCTGGTCAATTAATTGTGACGTCACCTCAATGGCATATATGAAGACCGTGACATAAACGTACCAGAAGTAAAGTTCACAGTGACAAAAAAGTACAGAAAATACACACTACAGGTGGTTTTCAGGCAAAAATGTAATAATCATATCTAATTATCAAATATTCCTCTAAATCAATATCAGAACATCTGCATTTTCACCTGGTTGATATTAGCTGTTTAAAATGACAAATCTAATAAATATAGTATAGTAAACCTTATAATAAGATTTTTATAATCAGTAAATATGTAATATAGTGCAAGACATTTTCAAAGGTATGTAAGTTTAAAAGTGCATTTGTTTTGCTGTTTTAAATTCCTGTCTGTATTTGATTTCCTACAACATATCTATTTTCACATGAAGTTTATTATCTTGCTAATTCATTACTGCTTTAAAGCTAGATGTTCATTATAAAAAATACAAATATTGTCTGCTTAATCGTGTTTTCAAGTAAAATTCTAAAGTTAAAATCTACAGAGACTAAATATTATATATTAAGCAGTAAAATTGCTCTTTTATACTAAAGTATATGCTATGTAATCTATAACACTTCAGTTTCATTACAACCTGTCAGTCTGTTTTAACTGCTAATTTGGAGAATCTGTATTACAGATTAACAAAATAAAATTCACAAAGTTAATTGCTGCCATCAGTGCTTATTTTCATAATCATTAAATCATTGTATGCTCTGTATTACACATATATGCTCGGTCTGCACATTACTCCAAACAAGCTTTGTGAAGATATTATAATATTTCAAGATTGTGTTGGAGGAAGCTGTATTGCTTCAGGCAGACAATCAATGTCAATCAGTAAGAGGACGCAAAAGCACGTGCCTTCTGTTATAATTCCAGGGCCCTTGGTTAGTCTCTGTATTCGCTGCTCTGTAAGGGCAGAAGACCTACAGTACATGCAAGGCGCAGAATGTACTAGTGATATTCCTTTCTAACATTCTGTGTTCCCTGTTTTGGGTTTGTTCATATCTTCGTAAATGCATGTTTACTTAAACGCAACTAGCATTAAGTTGGTGAACGCTAACGATGACTCTTTTAAAGGAAATATTAAAAGGTTATCCATCTGGAATAGACAGAGATAAGGGGTGGCAGTGTTAATAAACAGACTTCCGCTACACCTCAACAGTGTCTTCCTTTTCTAAACAATTTTTCTTTAATGTTGTAATGTTTTTTTCCATTCAGCCTACGCACCCGTCATCTCTTTGGGGGGAAGACGTCCAGTTAACTTCTAATGTTACAAAATAAATTGTAACACCTGTTTTGTAGAAGAAGAAAAAATCCTGACTCCGAAGTTCTGACTTCCTAGCGATTTATTCGTTCTGAAAAACACTTGCTTGCGCCATGGAAACTATCTGAACGACTCGCCTTTCCTTTTTGGCACCGTGCATACTTAGCTGAGATAAATAGGGGAAAATGAGATTGCTATTAAGAATGCTTAAATCGAATCTCGCTATCGAAATAATAAGAGGCTATGTTGCGCAGCAATATGAAGCAGTGTTGTGAAATACATTTCAATAATTTTGAGAGGCAGGAAAGAGGAGGTATATAACTTTACAGAAGTACTACATACTTAGGGATCACTCTATTGATGAAATACATATTACATATGGGCGGATTTCCATACAGATAATAGGAAATAAAAACAAATCGCGAGTATACATTACGCGACAATTAGTCCTTAAGATATTTTACTATAGAACTTGTTATACTACCCCAGCAAAGTTAAAGCTTAATTTTATTCCCTGTTAAGAGAAAGAATACTTTTAATTGTACATAATTAAAATTGTTTACAGCATAGTAGATGTAGTATTCGCAGAATTATGAAGAATTATGAAGTTGATTTCTTTATGTATTACGTATTGATACTTATAATACTTTGTACAAGAAAACGTGAAAACGTGTTAACCTAAAATTACTGAGTATTTGGCATAATATCTTCATAACTTTAATTCTGAAACCAAGTTTAAAATTATGCAGATTTGTTTTATTTGTAGTCCAGAATTGCGCTAAATAAACCCGGGTGTTTTTCAACGTAAGTTAAAAGAACCACTGGCAATATCTCCTAAATTTGTAATTTAAAATGAAGGTCCAGCCTTTTCGGCATTAGGTCAAGTAGACTTGTGTTGTTACAGTCACGGAGCAATGAAGTTTACATCATACCAGTAATCAGCACTAAAAGTAAGTTCAGCTTTCAGTTACTTTCCAACTCTGACTAAATAATATAGATTCAAAAGTTTGTATTTCGTCGGTCTTTTACATATAGCTATTTAACAAATTTATTTTCGTTTATTATCATTTCAAACTGTATTGCCCTTTATTTGGTGGACATGTACTAAGCATATTGTGGGTCATTGCAATTGCAAAAGAAAACGGACAAATAGCATAAAGTTTGAAAACACAGTATAGTTCGTGTGTAAAAAGCATTCAATATTCTTTGCATGTTTGTCTCACAGGTTTAAAATTGGCATATTAACAACGATTCTTTATAGTTTGTATTTTATTTTTTCATTTTTTCCTAATGCATATCAAGCTGAAACTACACCACTTAAACACAATACTATATCATCAAAACATTAAAGTTGAGGAAATCTTCTGGTAATTTGGATACCGTTACTTCATTTAAAATATTGCAGTTTCAAAAACATAAGTTTTAGTCTGTAAGGGTGTTGCTGAAAAGCTCTAAGAAAAACGGGATAACTCACTTGAGGCTTTATAAACTCTGTAAAAAAAACATTCTGTAGTATACTTGCACTAGTTATAGTCCGGAGATTAAATAAGATGATGAGATTCACTCGACTTTTACAAAATATCCACTCGTCAGTTGTTTACAAGGCGATTTACAGCTATTAAACTTGACCATCTGAATAAGTACGCGCGCGCACAAACTGAGAATGCAGGAATCTTTTCCAGGTTCACCGAGTAATTGGCGTACTGAATGCAGACTGTTAGCTATTTAAAATTATTTTTAAACGATGCTGTGTATAATGGAAATGGATTCACAACATATACGACAGTTCGTCTGTTTTATGAGAAATATTTTCAGAACAATCGAGTCAAGGGGAAAGAGCTCATGCCAGTCAGAAATGGGAAAGCTAACTGAATCCAAAGTCCGCATAATCCAAATACAAAGTAAATGGATAAAAAGGAGTCAATTTTCTATGTCCCTCGTTATAGTTATTGACAACTAAACATTTGGATACCACGTGCGCATAGAAATTATTACTATTTCTGGATCATGCGAATTTCAACATTTTGTCGCAGGAAGCATTTATAAATGGGACATAGCGTTGCATTGACGAGTGTAATTTACAGTGACGTTCACGACGATTCCTTTTTCTCTCTTTCTCTCACTTCTTGATCCGTTACAAAGCATACTCGCCACAGTAGATCACTAGATCCAGGTTTCTTTCAACTTTAGGCCCAAAGAACGTAGGAGAACGCGTAAAATATATCTACTTTCTATAATGGCACTAATTCAAACTCCTAGTTCTCCGCCAAATAAATTCCTACATAAATGAATAAATAGTTTTCAAGAAACCAAAGGTAAAAATGTCGAGCAGTACAAAAACTAGCGATGAAGATGATGATGATGAAGATGGAGACGATGAGTATGGTGATTATTATTATTATTATTATTATTATTATTATTATTAATTCTGATGTTGTTGTTCTTGTTCTTGCATGCTTTTCTAACATTAAATCGTAGCCTATATGGTGTATTCTATTTACTGGGGTAATATAAATTAAGTCTGATTTTAATGTAAATAATTAATATTAATTTTACATTAGCCAGTATGCTGCACAATATATAGCTTTTCTTGCAACTGCTATAAGCCAGTAGACATTAAAATGTTAATTAGCATCGACATTAAACAGAGATAAAGTGTGTATATTTACAATAAGGAACCATTAAATTGCATGTCAAATATTAACTTTACACAAGCCATATACATACAATTGTATGCCGAGTTAAAGGAGGTTAAAAAAAAACATGAATCTTGAAAATCTGTTTTCTTACACGTCCCCCAATTTCCCTTGATGATTGCTGGGAAGGTGTGAATAGCCATCTATTTGTTTGTTCGCAGCCTTTTTTCCTCGTCGGCGAACTTCAGTGTTTTGTATTCCTCTAAATCCAGCGGGCAGTTCTTATTGGTAGGTGTAAATGTTACATCACAATGATTATGACGCACCGTCTTCCTGTTTCCTTCAGCAGTGTCTTAAAGTGAATCTTGTTGGTGGGAGAGAGCCTCAGCTCTTTTCAGCTCGACTCACAGAAAAACCCAATTACAAGCCAGAAAGGAGAGCGGCGCACAAGAGCTCTCTGCTCTCTCGCGTCCAACTCTCCTGCTTGCCTTGAGAAATTACAATATTCATCACCAGGCAAACAGCCCTCTCTGTCTCTCACATTATAGCAAAGAAGCTCGCTTTCTTCTCATCTCTGGAGTAAGTAACCTTGTCCTTAGATAGCTCCCAGTTTATTCTTTCTAGTATTAATCGTCCGCTCTCTTGGAGAAGCCAATAGTTTCTACTGAGAGGAGGAGGTGCGATTCGTAGTATATATTTTACTGCTTAATTGTCTTCATTGGTACGCATTTAGGTTGCTTTTTTCCAAAAATCGTTTTTTGATATTAACAAGCAGAAGACATTTTCAGATTTTTTGCTTAATCGAAAGGGATATAGGGCTCAATTGTTCCACTCGAACGTAAGTATTGTCGATTTCAGTCATCAAGTCATAATGTGCCATTTCTCAAACTTCGGGAAAATCGCTTTCTAAGAGAAGCACTGAATCCGGACTTCTGAAACATTTTAATGTCGGACATGCAAACCCTTATAATATACCATTAGAATAAGCGTACCATCCATGGTCGTTGTCTTTTCAGTTATTCTTCATACTGTTCGCAGATTTGCTTGTGATTTGCATGCGTACTTAGACTTTTACTGAATATGTGCTATTTTACACTATTCCTCTGAGTTCGTGGTGCTTTCGGCAGATGTATATGTTACTTCTCCGCTCTGTAACGTCACGCTTGAAGTGCTTGATTCTCTTTAAACGATACGATTGAACGTGGTACAAAAAAAGATGCGAGCGCAACCTTTAATGTCGTTTAAACTCCTTCGCTGCTTCTGGGCAACCAGAGTTAGAAAGACGCGTCAGTACACGGGTGAGAAATATTAAAACTCTAAATCTGCAAAAGCAAGGAGCGCAGTGCTCGGGGATTTCATTTAATTTTACAATGACATTCTAATACCCAGTAAAACTTTTAAACCTAAATTATCGCGACATGACGATAAAAATAGCCAGATTAAAAGATTACTATAGGCTATCTAGCCTACTATATTCAAGTGACTGTGTCATCAATGTTGGTCTTTACTTCAGGACCGATTCGCCTTTCTCTTCAGTCTCCCAATTCATGTTTGGTTCAGTTTTATTTATTTTTTTCATAAACGTCTAACTGTAGTGCGCATGGGCGGTAGGCGACAGGTGCGTCGTCTGAAAATACAGGTGCATGTCTCTTTGCCTTATAATAAAAACAACCAACGGGTAAGCCGAGACATTGTCGAACTTCTAAATGTGCACCTGAATTAAGACACATCGAGTTATCCCCCTTCCACTAAACAGCCTTTGTGCATTAAGGTGTTAACGGGTGTACTACAACTTATCAGCTGATCTTTAAACACTGTATTATCTGTAGACGTTAATATGTATTCACTGCTCAAGTACGCTGTGCTGCGCAGCTGCCTTTCACGTCCTTAACAAAAAAGAAAAAAAATAGTTACAAGCGCATCTATTCTGCTCTCGACGATATTAATGAATGGATTAGTCACTGTCTCATTTGGCAGTTCAAGGACAGAGTTCCGATGTGTGCTGTAAGTGTTATACCGTGTTTATTTCTAACAAAGTAAAACTTGAAGGAATAAAGCGCGTGTACTTTTCTTCCCGCTCCTTTACTTAATATGGATATCGATATGCATTAAGTACACTTAATAGAATTATCACATTTTCCACATGTATGAAACTTGCATAATACATATGTGATAAGTCTTAACCATCTAAGTTGATAAAGTTTGTTGTCGCGTTCTCACTTTAAGTATACACGAATGGGCCAAGTATTGAGTTGAATGTAAAGAACAGTTAATGTGATGTGCTGCCATTTAACAGGATATATTTCAGAACCTAGTTATTTATTTTGCTCAAACTGTTGAAATTAGTTATAGTAGGGTATATTTGTGTTATAGGAATTTACACATGTATTTTATTCACGTTCATGTATTTGTTCATGTATTTGTCTATCGTCGTAGTCTAAGCGGGCAGAACGGGGACGTTGTTATTAATATATAGTAATTTAACCTGTTAAGATAATTTACATTGTTTAATGGCTGAAGACATTTTATGGTTTGTCTCATACTTCACTCCAGGTGTGCGCTGTGCGCAGTATTAAAGTGTCATTTAGGATATCTTCAAAGGAATAAGGTTGTTGGACACAAATGGAATGTTATGCATTTAGTTATATAAAAAAGATATTTAATAAAATAAAATAATATGTCTTCAGCCTCATTAATCCTCTTCACTTAGACGTAGTTCATAAGCTTCCAGACATTTAACTAGACCTAGTAGTGACTTAATTTCTGGATGAGCTAATTTGTTTATGTTTTGTGATTTAATGTAGAATCATTCCTGACATTTGGTAGTATAGCAAAATATATTTGAATGATTAAAATTTGAAAGGCAGGCTTTTGCATATTAGAATATGTTATTCTATGGAAAGCAGTATTCGCACAAATGAAACACACACGTCTAATACTGGTTCTAAAGAAGTGTAAATGCTAGACATAGTTTCTTTTATGTATTATCCATGTAAAAGTAGGATCGACTAATCAGGTGTGATGGGCACCATAGACAAGTGAACAGAAGCATCTTTCAGTAGGTTTTTTTTTTTACGTAGTAAAACTGGAATTACTTGTTAGTTAGGCCTACGTTTAACGCGTTTTGTGTATTTTATTGCCCAAACAGTAATGTATTGCCTTTGCTCTTCAGTTGTACTCTTCGATTTTAAAAATGTCTGACAGGGGAATGAAACTGAGTGTTAGAGTACCCCGCAAAATAATTTTTGTTTTTTCTTAGTAATAAGGATTTTATTTTGGGTTTCAAAAATCATGTAAATGTAACAACTTAGAAAAAAATGTATGAATGATATATTTAGCAATTTTAACAACAGAGGAAATGCTTTGCGAATGGTCTGCAGTTCATTTTATCTGTCACTAAATTGATCTTTTAGAAAATAAGTTAAAATTATTATCTGTGTGACAGTGTTTGATGTGCGCAATAGAAACTACTAGAATTTTGTGCATTTTGTGTTTAATTCAGAATTGGGGTCAGCCAATGTGGATAAATTGTAAAGAAAATTAATCAATCCTTTTGTTCTATTGGCCAGGATCTTGGGGTTCGAGAGCTGTGCCCAGCTGACAAGCCTTTGAAGATGACACAATAGCAATAGCAGTCCAGTGATGCCTGACCATGACAGTGCAGCCCTCTTAAGCAGACAAACTAAGAGACGAAGAGTTGACATTGGCGTGAAAAGGACTGTAGGGACAGCGTCTGTAGCCTTTGCCCGAGCGAAAGCAAGCATATTCAGTGCCATGAATCCCCACATTGCCGACCAGGACGTCGAGTGTTCAGTAGTGCAGCACGCGGACGGGGAGAAGTCCAATGTGCTCCGCAAGCTGTTGAAGAGGGCAAACTCGTACGAAGATGCCATGATGCCCTTTCCCGGTGCCACCATAATTTCCCAACTTCTGAAAAACAACATGACCAAAAACGGAGGCAACGAGCCTAGCTTCCAGGGTAGCGGGCTGTCGAGTACTGGCTCTGAAGTCCACCAGGAGGACATGTGCAGTAACTCGTCCCGGGAGAGTCCCCAGGACTGCCTGTCACCCTTTAGTAGGCCCTCCATGAGCCAATTTGACATCGAGCGACTCAGTGACGAGCACCTGAGGGCCAAGCGCGCCCGGGTGGAGAACATCATCCGCGGCATGAGCCACTCGCCTAGCGTCACCCTGCGGCCTAGTGAGAGTGACCGTGAGGGGGTGCCACAGCCGCCCGGCAGCCCCCGCGAGAGCTACCGGGAGAACAAGCGCAAGCAGAAGCTGCCCCAGCAGCAGCAGCAGAGCTTCCGGCAACTGGTGTCGGCACGCAAGGAGCAGAAGCACGAGGAGCGCCGCCAGCTGAAGCTGCAGCTGGAGGACATGCAGAAGCAGCTGCGGCAGCTGCAGGAGAAATTCTACCAGATCTACGACAGCACAGACTCTGAGAACGACGAGGACGGGAATCTCTCAGAAGACAGCCTGCGCTCTGATGGCATGGACCGCCGCGCACGTGACTCGGTGGCAGACCGTTCCGATAACGAGATGTCCGACCTGGACCCTGGGCACTTCCTGGACCGGGCACGTGCACTGATCCAAGAGCAGAGCGTCATGGCGGACGGAGACAAACCCAAGAGGGACGGTCCTCGGGGGAAAGGACAGGGGCCCTCCTCCATGCACGCGGAGGGCAAGCAGTTGGCCGAGACGCTGAAGCAAGAGCTAAACACGGCCATGTCCCAGGTCGTAGACACGGTGGTGAAAGTTTTTGCCAAGCCCCCACGTCCAGTTCCTCAGGTCTTCCCGTCGCACCCGATGCCTCAGGACCGCTTCCCGGTGAATGGAGAGAATCCAAACTTCCACACGGCCAATCAGCGATTGCAGTGTTTTGGCGATGTCATCATTCCCAATCCACTGGACACCTTTGGCAGCATTCAGGTCCCTCCTTCAAATGACCAAACGGAGGCTCTGCCTCTGGTGGTCCGAAAGAACTCCTCGGAGCAGTCATCCTCTCTGCCCACGCCTGGGGGGCACCATCACCCCTCACTGCATCCCTCCCCATTATCTGCCACCATGGGGTTCAGTCCTCCCTCTTTCCGGCACCCTTTCCCCCTTCCACTAATGGGCTACCCTTTTCAGAACCCATTAGCCACACCTTCAGGCTCCTATCCGGGCAAAGACAGGGCCTCCCCAGAGTCCCTGGACCTATCCAGGGAGACTACCAGCCTAAGGACCAAGATGTCATCAAATCATCTGAACCACCATCGCTCCTGCTCGCCTACACATCCTGGGAGCACCGCAGAGGGCCTGTCCTTATCCCTCATCAAATCCGAATGTGGGGACCTTCAGGAAATGTCTGACATCTCGCCGTATTCAGGAAGTACAATATCCTTTCAAAAAAAAAAAAGATACTAATGCTGTCTAATGATGCCAGCGCCTGTTTTTTCTTTTTTTCATTTTTATCTCCCTGTCATCTTCACTTCATGTTTTACATTTTCACAGAGAATGTTGCAGGTGTTTTCCCAAATGCTCCAGATATCACAGCAGGGTATCCAAAACAAGAGTATATTACCATAAAGAGCACTAATTATGATCCTAGTTGAACACGTCTTGATTACACGAGATGTCTTGCAGCAAGGAGGCACTTAATTTCAATTAATCTCCATTAATTGGTTTGTGCTTTAACCCCCACGCTTTCCCTGAAGTCTAAAGATTAAAAAGAGGTTCTCAGGGTTGGAGGCTTTTAAGCGTGATCTAGCGGAAAAGGTGCTGAAAGGCTTCAGCGCTGCACTGAAGCCTCCGTTCTTTTCTGTTCTCACCATCACAGACGTCTTCACAATGCACCCCCCGTTTTTAATCCCCGCCTGTAATACTTTGTACATAAATGCTCAAAGCAAATCGTGTTTCAAAGCCAGGAAGTAAGATAACAAGTGGTCTTCTCAGCTAAGAGGTCTTAAAACTTGCATTAAACAACAACAAAAAAAAATCTCTATTTGAGGATGTTTTCGATCGGAGTGATTTATCTTTAGTCACACGCTAAAAGCATATCATCGTGAAGATCTAACGGGTCGTGTAAAGTGGTTCTTTGTGGAGCAGTAGTTTTGCAAGGCCCAATTTTATGTCATTTACTGTAGTTCAATTCACTTGGTCCAGCTGGGGTATTATAAAAGGCTGGATTTTGTTTAAGTAAGGGCTTATTGAGGGCTATTGAAGCACGGCATATTGTTTTATTTATTTATTTGTTTATATTAAACACTGCACATGTTTACAGTAGGCCCCACGGCATAACGAAGTCTTTATCCCCTCCTGCCTTTTTTTTTTCTTACGTTACATAAAGTGAATCATTTCAAATTCTGTATTCTTAATAGATATTTGTTGACATTTGGATAGCACTTGTGCCAGTGCCTGCTGTTGCTTGGCAGCCAGAGTTTTTTTTTCTTTCTTTCTTTCTTCTCTTTGAAGCCAGGGTTAACAGGTGTTTGCAGGTAGCTGTTTATCTATCACTCAGTTCCCTTGTCTTGTTTCTTAACCTCCAGATTGAATTGCCTCCATACCTTGCTCGCTGCTCTGCGTTTTGTGCGTGTTGGAGAAAACGAAAATTAAGACACACAAACACACAGGCATGCATGCACCTCATGTTGAATTTGGCCAAGAGATGCAGACATCTCACTTAATTTTAGGTTTACTTGTATGTGTAATCCTTCACTGTCAATAACATAGGTTCATTTTTTTTTTGCAATCAAATTTACTGTATAACTTGTATATTATTTTATGAGAGTTAAATGTTATTGAACTTTAACTCATATAACTTATATAACATTTTGCCCTATTAGCAGTAAATGAAGAAAATGGAACTTCAGCCGACAAGCCTGGAATGGAAAGTGTTAACCCTATATGATTTTTTTTTTTATAATAACAATAATCTGCACCTGCATTGTTTGCACTTTGAGCCAGCAGCAGCAGCAACGTCTCCATATTTGCAAATTAAGCTGTTTAATCAAATATTAAGTTTTATTCAAATGCCCGAAGAAACAGACAGCCAATTGTCTTTGTCCGTGTGGAGACTGATCTTCCTTGTCACGCGGCTCCTTTGCATCTCAAGAAAAATAGCCTTGTTCAGTGCGCCTGAACATTTGCATACAGAAAGTCTGTACACAGCTCTAGCATTGTGGCGCACTCCAAGACATAGGAGCAGGTGAAGGCACTTTGCATTTCCAGTACACGGGGCCCAAGGCTTGACTCACGTACATTTGGAAAGGAAAGGCCTCGGCTCTGTGGGCTGAGCTCACTGCAGTGTGGAGGAAGTTGTCAGTGTAGGGGCCTGGGATTTGGAGCCACCCCATGTGATTTGGAAAACGGGCCGGCCTCTGGTTTTGAATTTTGAGGCGTTGTGGAAAAACCAGCCACCTGTACTTTTTTTCCATGCTGCTGCGGCCTCATCATAACCTTTTAGCATCTTGGTACTTTTCCATCCATAACATCCCACCCTTCAAAAAAGAAAAAACAAAAAGAGAAACATATACACCAGCCCGGTATTTCATGCTGCTCCTCTGTTTTCCTTGATCAAACATGGTACTGATTCACGTGGTAACTTCTTGTGAACAGTACTTAGGGTGGACTGTATCTCTAATCTTTTATGTTCCTGAGCAGATGTCCAACATTAATTTATGGATATGTCGTCTGCCCCCCCTTCCTTACACCTGGCAGTTAGCTCAAGTTTCAGCAGTTATTGTCTCTCTTACATGACGCACGCTGAATTCATCTGGCTTCGGAGCTCAGTGTTGTTGGGGAGAATGGAGAGAATGCAGTCACAACCATGTTGGTTATGAAGCACCCCTTCTGTTCCCCGCTACCTACAGTAACTAATGCTGCACCTTTCCTAAACATTCTGACATTATATATATATATATGTGTGTGTCTGTGTGTGTGTATACACACAGAGACATATATATATATATATAATGTACACACACATGCATGTACATACACATATTTCACATATATATGTTTGTGTGTATGTAAATATACATTTATTTATTTGTTTGTTGTTTCATATTATTTATTCTGATAGCTTCTTGTACATCAGCAATGTTGAGTGTTTTGTTTTTTTGTTAAATATAACTAATAATGTCAGCATTACAGTGAAAGTAAACAAAAAAACACTCAAAATGCAAACTGGAATGTTTATTTGTGCATAATAATGAAACATCCAGCATCGTTGTGATCATTTTGTCCCCCCTCCCATTCTAATTTACAATAATTTGACAATATTACAGTCTTTGGGGTATTTTGTACATTTTCATATTTTTAAAGGCTGATTAGTGGATGTCAGAAAAGCAATTTGTTTTAAGTGTTGTATTTAGAGGAAGAGCTATCAGAAATGAAGATGAACAGGTTTAATGTTGGGTGGGGGTGGCACGGCGGGGGGGGGGCATAAGGACGTTTAATAGATGTGCTGTGAGTTCTGTGAGAATGACGACAATGGCTGGTACTAAGCTTTTAAAGAGATTTACTGTTTAATTGAGATCACTAATACGAAACGTTTTCAGATCCTGGCCTGTAATTTGAAAAGAGCATCTCAATATAATTAATTTAGTCAAGATCCTCAGTGGGACATATTTACCAGCCCGTCACCTGCTTGTGTGCTTATATCCCTGCACTAAATATTTGTCTTTGTGTACACTGCTTTGTTTTATCTGTGTTTCTGAATGACTTTTTGGGTCCTTCAGAGTCCCGGCTTTTGACAAGAGGACATCACATCTTCCTTTTCCTTATTCAATGGTGTTATTTTATGTTATGGCAGATGGCAACAGAGAGCCTAATGCTCTTTTAGGCTCTATCAGACTAATGGAGGTGACCGAGGGCTCTTTCAGCTTCCTGGTTTTGGCACGAGAAAAACGTCAATCAAGAGTTATCATCTATGCAGTCATTAAGCTTCCCGAGTACAAAGAGCATGTTCAATCAAGGCGCTTCAGTTTTTGTAGAAGATAATTATTTTCTCTTCTCCTCCTTACTAGGGGGTATTGACCCAGAGCAACGAGAGAAGGCTAAATAGATTTTAATTAATTTTGATTTCTTCAGTTAAATGCTTCCCTTGTGGTGAAACACAGAATTAGTACAGGATATTGACCAATGCTGCTGCCTCTAGTGCCTGTATTTGGTAATTTTTTTCATGGCTACTTCTTAAAGCATTTCACACAGTTGCAAAGAATACAATACAGACAAAAACCCTGTGGACACTTTTAGCTACTACTTAAATAACTTGATAATAACGAATATATCACAGACAACTATCAATTACCGACGACCTCAATGCATGCTCTTAGTTTTGCTCTGCTTGAAGAGAGCCTCCTTAAATGATCTGCAAGACCTGTATCGTCTCCCTTCACGCGTGTCTTTATTCCTTGCAAATGATAGAGCTGTTTATTTGCAGAGAAAATGCCATGACCAGTCTGCAACACAGATGTGCCCAACACTGCCCTATCTGGCAAGGTATAGTCTTGCCAGGAGCCTTGGGGGGGGGTCGTAATTGGAACGGCTGGATCACTCCAGTTAGCTCTCTTTTCTCATGGGATGCCCCTCTACAGTTAGTGTTTACAATGGGCAGCAGTACTTATAGAGACGATTGCTTGCACTGGGATAAGTAGGCAGGTATGGATTGACCTCCTGTTTGATCCCAGAGGCCATTTTCGTTAATGGGGGGGAAATGGGAGAGCAGGGGATATTGTTTTTACGTATTATAGGTGTATGATACGTCTGAGTAAAGTGATTTTCACCATTTCATATTATTTGCCGCTATTATTCATGCACTTTAATTTTAATATTCTGTAAATGCACTGCTGTGATCCCGCAGTCCAGTACTGCATAGGCGGTGGAAGATGGATGGATGTTATGATTGAAATTCTGTTTGTTAGATTATTTATCTGCCCTCACCCTTAATTTCACTAAAAGTGCTTACGGATTACACGTAGGCCGTTGTGTTTTTCCTTGACCCAAGCCTTCCCAAATTCAGGAAGGCCTATCACCTAACCATCTGAAGAAGGCCAAACTGATGTTCTTCTACACAAGATACCCAAGCTCCAACATGCTGAAGATGTTCTTCTCTGACGTGAAGGTGAGTTATTGACGTCCTTCAACGTGAACGCCTGTTACATAGCCACTTGTCATCTGCAGTTCCCCGTTTCCTCAAATTCTCTGATCTCTTCTGAATGCTTAACAAGAAAGAGCTAGAACAGCATTTCCCTTGCTATTAATTTGCCGGTGCATATAATGGATTTTGTCGTATATGTGAAAAATGGAGACCGTTTTTTTTTTACTCGTTGGTAGAAATGATATTGTCTTAGCCTGAGAAAGGGAGGGGAAAAAAAGGGGAGAAATTAGAAATAGTGCAGGGGGGGCAATAAGAGAACACAATGAAACCACACACACAAAAAACATTGGTGCCAGTGTTTTATTTACAGCTTAATTTGTTGTTGATGTGGCATATACTGGAACATAAGGGAAATAAATAATGAGACTGATTCAGAACACATCATTCAAATGAGAGGATGAAGGTTCTGTCCCCTCCCATATCACCATAACGACACCACCTTCTTCTGACTCTTGCCATGATGGGTCACCATGGCGAAATTCTCCCTGTGCCACATAATGGTGCCTTTTTAACAGGAAATGGACAACTTAGCCAAGTTTATATCAAATTAAGTTGTAGAGGTATGGAGATTTTTCTTTTTTTTTATTGAAGTGGTCACTGGGTTCATTTTTATATGTGTTTGATGAAGGCAAACATTCAATAAAGGCAGTCTATAGAATAATGATGTGAAACCCATTATGCATGAGAATCCTAAGTATGACATTCATAAATATAGGAATATTCACATCAAACCTCACCTCTACATTTTCATTTCCATGACCTGAAATAAGTTCAGATTGTTTGGATTGGTTTGTGACCTAAACTGTAAACAGCAAGAGTGAAGAGTATGTTCTGTTGGATTACGTAGTCTGGTTGTGTGGTAATTAAGTGTAAATCGGTAATTGCATTTGATAATAGAAGACATACATAAGGAGCTGGACACTTTCTGGATCCTTGCACATTTAGTGTAGAAATTTGGGATAGAAGTGTGGAACAGTCAAATTTTCATTAATGGAATGGTAGTAAAGTAAGAATGTTTTACTGAATTTACGCTGTACAGTTCTTTTAAAGATTAAATTTGAAGTATTGAAAAATCATTATATGTGTTTCACAAAATATACAGCAAAACTAAGCACATATTACACTGCAATTGAAATTGAAAATAAATGTTTAATAAATAAATCAATGAATTTCATTTGTATCATAATTACATTTGAGATATTACTTTGAGCGGTTTTCATTGGTGCTTCGCCAGGTTAAATTTTTTCGGAGTTCTGTTAAATGACTCTGTGGCCAGAATATGTCTGTCGGCTGCCATGTTTGTCTCCCAGGATCTGTGCGCTATAACCTCTGGTGTAGAGTAACCGGCAGGGACAGGGAGCGGGTCGGAACGATTTCTACGGCCTGTTTTCAAAACCTTGAATGCTGCTGCTGCAGTACTGCTTTCTCTCCTAGGGTAGCGTTCGATGGCGAGTTTCAGCAGGAAAATTATGTATTCAGGCATTAGCAGTACGAAGCCGGTCTGTAGTCACAAGGAGATTAACAGGCTGCCTGATTGACAGCTGAGCGATAGATAATGAACATTTTTCATGCACCATTTTATTTGTAGTTTTTCAGAAATGGCCATCAGCTCTTACCAAGCAGAGAACTAATGTCCATCTATATAAAATATATAATATGGCTGTCATTTCAAGAAAGATGATATGAGTTTCGAATAAAGTTGTTATAATGATAAAATCATCCAATAGTTTATTACAATAATGTAATTAAAAATTTAGGGCAAAGGTGCATCTACATATGTACACCTTCACATTTTCGTTTCCATGCCCTGAAATATGCTCAGACATGTGGATTTGTTTGTAACCAAAACTGTAAAGAGCAGATAGTATGTTCTGTAGAATTAAGTAGTCTGGCTGTATGGTAATTAAGCGTAAATATATATAAGCATGTATATAAATATATGCATATAGTTTATATGTGCAGAATAAGGCAGGAGCGTAACCCTAGACACGAGCATCAGTGTCAAATTCGTTAGCGTGTGAGTGATGGCCACTGTTTTATTACGGATGTGAGTTAAGCGACTGGCTGTCCCCGGTGACTCTGGAGAGTGAGAACTCAAGCAAGCGTGGGGCTGGAGAGAGGGCCGCTCTCACGGGCTTTTGAGCACGGGTGCTTTCCATACCCCCACCCCTCCTGCCCGCCCACTCTCCGAGTCAACTGCTGCCCGGCCAGATTAAGGCATCAGACTGATTTGTGGCACCAGCCCTTTGAACGTGCTCGCGGAATATTCCGACATTTTCCTTAGCTGGGACGCTCGGAATCTTGCAGGAAATGTTTCCCAAAATCAAGCCCTCTCTGCACCAACATTCGAAACCTCTCCTATTTAGCAATTTAGTTTACACGCAGCAGATGGGGTGGATGTATGTATTTTATTCCAAAGACTAGTCGTCAAATTCCTTTTACAATCAATTGGGTCAAAATACATTTTTTGCTATGTTTCAAATCAGTATGAATGTCCAACCAAAAAACTCAACTAACTATGTTTGCACTCATTAAAAGCTTGAAGTCCATCACAGACTCAAAAACTTTTTCATGTCCTTGAGACATAAAACAAAAAAAACACTTTTTCTTCATCATCTCTTCCAGGTCAGTTGAATTCTGTTGCTGTTCAAATTAGCTTGCAGTTCATTCTTAGTTTTTTCCCCTCCTTCATGAATGATTGGTGTCTGTGTTTTTTTTTTATTTTATTTCTGTGTGGATTTGGGCTTGCCGACTGCAGGGTGCATGTGCCCATGTGTTTATGTGCATGTGCTGGAAATGGGATGTGTGGGAAGGGGGTTACGTTTGTTGGACAAGCAGATAACAAGATTCTGAATTGCTGAGTCGTCACGTTCCAGCAACGCTGGTCTTTTGTATGTTGCATCTCTGGTATTTCTATTCGGCAACAATACACTTTAAATCTCCCTTTATACCCACCTGCCAAACAATGTCATGTGGACTTACTTTTTTGTAGTCTCTATTATGTCATCCATGAGCCATTATAGCAAAAAAAAAAAAAAATCCCTCAAACACTTTCTGTTTTCCCTCGCTCTCTCCTCATAGCCTTGTTCGTAATAGACAATGTGTTGTAACAATACTGGGGTCTAATCTCCACGTCAAAGCAATTTTCATTCCCCAGTGAGCAGGCTCCTATCATTTTGTAATGTTTTGTTACTTATTCTAAAAGAAATGAAAAGGAATAGTAAGCCAACAGGGGTGACTGGACGAAGGCGGGGGTGGGGGGGTTGGTGGACACCGTATTTCGCCGAGATAAAACAGAAAAAAAACCCGGAATTCAGCATATCCTAATAGGTTTAAGTTCTATTGAAACTGGTAACCAGATCAGAATGCCTGTTTTGTTAGTTTTTTTTTTCTTTTTTTGTTTCCCCTTTTTTTAACCGTCTACAGCTGAAAGTATACAGATCAGACGTACACAGCCAATGGGAGAATTCCTGAATAGGTTAAGTACATATTTGAACTCTCCCTGGCCAGAGCAGATTGTTGATGACCTAATCATTTTCTGCTCAATTATCTAAGAACTCCGAGGAGGGTGCGACACTTAAAATAGCACGCCGTGCCTATTTTGCGATGTGCACTGACCCTCACAGCTGTTGTTTCCCTGTGACTTAGATTCTCTACTGCATTTTTAGTTTAGTTCGTTATATAAATTGTAAAAGGGCCCACCCCCCATCCACACATATATGGCCTTCAGAAGATCCCCCCCACAAAATCTCCTCACCTATCATCAACCAGACCTGGTGTTTTTCTGCAGTTAGCGGGTAGCTGACTGCTAGCCACTGATTTCCGATTAATGCTCGCTCTTTATTTTTATTTTCTAACTTGGCAGAGGGGAGGGAAAAAACATGGCTGGTGGTACTCGGGTCAAGCGGGTGGGGGTGGAAGGGATGGTGTTGATGAATACCCATAATTACCAAAAACAGGAGATTATGTGTTAGGGCAATGTACGGAAGGCCTTTTGGATTTATTACGTTTTGGCTGTGTGCGTACAGCAGTCATCTTTCTGCATTCCTGAAGGCCGCAGCGCACACGCCCATCATGAAGGTCACATGACCAGGTCAAAGGGCAAAGTAAGAGCATTTCTCATCCAGAATGACCCAGATCCCCCTTATCCCAAACAGCTATGTCATTGCCATACTGATTGCACATATGCCCCCATTTAATTAATGAGCAAATTAATATTTTTTGTGTGTATATGTGTTTTTTTGTCTTCTTAGTTTGACCACTGAAGTCGCACTATTTTGGGACCATGTCCTACTAACCCATAGACGAGAGTTTTTTGTGTTGGTTTATTTATTTTTTGTTTCTTTTACTCAGTCTGGCTCACAGACGTGCAAAGGTTGCCGAAAAAACAGCACCAGCCTCTGAAATTTAAATGTTCCCAGTCCTGAGGTGTTGACCTGACTTGATTTGCAGTTACACACCCCCTGACCTGTGCACTTGACATTTGACTAGCCAAGCGATGTATGTTTGTGTGCCTGCTTGTGTTTATTTGACTCTATGTACCGGGTCAAAAAATCAAAAGGTACTGCAAACGATATTGGACAAATTATTGCCTACACAAATGAACCCGCATATTCAATCATCCCCCACCTTGTTATTCTATGCAGGGTCAAAGTGGGACTGGAGCCTATCCCAGTACTCCAGGCAGGGCTGCACCCTGGACAGGATGCCAGACCATGGCATGACACATACATGCACGTACTGACATGCTGCTGGCAATGTAGAGATGGCTGACTGTGTGGCTTTGGACTGTGGGAGGTCCTCTAGAGTAGCCGGGACGTCCTGTGTGACACAGGGAGAACATGCAAAGCCAAGCTGGGATTAAAGACAACCACGTTATGCTCTGATCCACCATGCTGCTCCATTATGTTCTAAATTAAAATACTTCATTTTCTAAGTTATATATAAAACTAATAAACATTGATAAACAGATAAATACATATGCTATTTACTTAAAACTATACATTTAGCAAATCAAGGATGAGAATATTGTAAGGCACCAAATTTATTCACAAAAAACTATTAAGAATTTGGGGTACACCCTGAATTGGACGCTGGTCCTTCGCAAGGCACATACACATACATTCATAATCTCAGTCATTCAATCATACAGTTAAGACAGAATTTAAACAGTCGTTGAATCATTTACCTGTCACTGAACAAGTTGATTCTGTGTTCTTTCCTCCAGTGTTTTGTTGTGGGTTTGAATGTTCCACTAGCCAGTCTTGGTACCTTTATGAATGGGAATTAAAGCCCCCCCAGGGCTGCCCCCCAGTACCACTCACATTACCATTTCAACAGTTCAACAGGTGTATCACGTCCCAGCTCATCAAGTGGTTCAGCAACTTCCGCGAGTTCTACTACATCCAGATGGAGAAGTTTGCCCGGCAGGCCATCAATGATGGCGTGACCGGCGTGGAGGAGCTCAGCGTCAGCCGGGACTGTGAACTCTATCGTGCGCTGAACATGCACTACAACAAGGCCAACGACTTTGAGGTAAGCTGTCGCCCAGCACCGTCGCCCTCCTTGGTCAACATCATGACCTTGTTGTTCTTCTCGTTCTTCGTTAATTAAATTGAAAGGCCCTCGTATATCTTTGTTTTCGTAACGTAAGTCATTTTTTATGTTATTAAATTTAAAGCTAATGTGGGTTTAATGAATACAAAATTAGCAATATACAATGTTTAAGGCAGAAAGTAAGATGAATTCATGTTCTGAGTGAGGCAGCCACATTTATTGTACGTATGAATTTCACTCTACAGTGAAGTGCATCTCTTTATTTAAAGGGTCAAGAGGCTGTAGCTGTAGTGCCACATTTTTTCCCGAATGTAATTTTGCAGTCCTTGTCGCAGTATTATGTTTATCAATAGAAATGAATGAAGTCTCCTTTAAAACATGTACATCTTATTACTGCCATTTAATGTTCCATCGTAAGAACATCAAAACCCATGGTTTTCTGAAGAAGATGTTGTCCCTGGGATGTTTTAACCAATAGGAAGGGGGCTCTGGTTTATCAGCGCACAAATAAATTTTAGTAGATGTTTTTTTTTTTTTTTCTACCAGGAACTTATTCATGGCACCAAGGTCATTTACATACATTAATGTAGAATTTGCAAACTCAAAGAAGGTGCGTGCCGGGGGGCAACAGTGAATAAGACTTCTGTTGGTCAAAAAGTTATGTTGCGTGGAAACATTTTGCATATCAATAGATTTGTAGGTTCTGCAGGTGTTTGAGCAGGTAGATATGAGACAATTACTACGCAGCATAAGGAAAACTTAATCAGCAATGCAAATATTCTGGATAAGCTAGCTTGACTTGAATGAGCTTGTTTGTTTGGATCTCTTGACGACTTCACTTCTCTGTTGTGACCTAACCTTTGAGAATGGTCGAGTTTTATCTATGGATAGAAATCTATTTTAACTTAATTGTTTCAACACTCTTATTTGCCGGGCACTGACACACACTGTGGCCTGTAGCAGAAAACTTTAGGAAGTTTTGCTTTTGCCAAAATTGAGCATCAACAAAGTTCCACCTTGATTGTTTCTCCCCAATGAATATGTCCTCTGTTTGGTCGACCGTTTGATGTTAATCTGGTCTGTCAATGTGCACTCGCACCGCTTTCTTCTCCTTTGAGATGCCTTCGGTTGTGTTTCACTCCCTTCACATGTGTTTGCTTTCCTCCTTGTCCATTGAGAATGACATAAATGCTCCATTCCTCACGACAGAATGACCTCAGCTTCTAAATACGGCAACTTTGTTAATTTCCTTTCCGCATTTGCTCTTCATCCCCTGCTTATCCGTTTCTTTCAGATACATTTCGAGCCCAGCAGGCGTCTCCTGCCCCCAAGCCGAAGTCAGAGTGTTTGCTTGTGATTTCTATCCCTTGTCCCTTGCCTTAATACCTAGTTCTTGGCATAGATAGTAAAGGCAAAAAGTGAGGACAACCTGATTATGTATTGACTGGAAGTTGAAAGCTATATCATTCACATATTAAAGGGGTTTTTGTCAACAAAACCATGCAGGATTTAATGAATCTTACCTTATAAGTCAGAGAGAGTTATGAACTTACATCATATCCAGGCATAGTTTTGTGTTTGTCAGATGGTCATGGCTGAATCAGTTCTACTGGTCTTACTTTCTTGACACACTCTGAGCGGTTCTCTTTAACATCTCCACAGTAGCTGGAACCTTAATGTGATCTGTCAATGTTGAGGAAGAAGTAATAATTCTGTGCGTTCTCCATTATTGTTTAATCTACGATTTATAATATACACTTACGGCACCTCTTAACTCTATTGGTGGTCCCAAGAGACACCTGCTTACTGATAAGGTTACTTTGAATTGTTCTGTAAGTTCATTTTTTTTTGACTTGGAAGAACAGTTATGTTCGGAGCTGAGGGAAATCTTTTACTAATACTGTATCAGGTCACAAGAAGCATTCAAAAGCTAGGGGGCAGAAGGCGGGGTAGGAGGCTACGGAAGATAAAAAGGCATTTTTATGACAGGTCTGGGAGGGTCTCATCTTTCCTTCAGAAAAGAGTTCAAGGCTCTTCTGACAAGCTTCCTTACCACCAGCTCCTTTCCCCAGCTCCACCCTCCCCCAGTGCCGTGCTAAAGAGAGTTTAAAGGACATTGTGGCCCTTTCTCTGATCTCTGTGCCTTTTGAAAGGGCTGTATCCGTGCAGGATAAGCACAGAGAAGTCCTTTGACTTCAAGAGTTCACATACTCATGTCTTTGGGCTATCAGGTGTCTGACCTTATCAGTTACCCCATTTCATATTGAAGAAAAAAGTCAGCGTTCTTTGTGCAGGCTCCTTCCTTTTCTTTCGTCCTTTCTCCTTCTCTCCCTCCTTGAATTGATCTGATGAAAAGGGCCACTCCCCTCCTCTGTTTCCCCGCTCCAATGCCGTCTAGACAGATGTTTCTTCCCTTAACCCGTAGTTTGCATCCGAAACCATGGCTCATTCATGGTTTCATTACACTGGAAGGATGTGCAACACAGGGCGACTATAGTCTGTGGGCTGCTTTTCAGGGCCGTGCCACACAAAAGAGGAAATCATCGAACAATCATGCGGAGTGTTACCTGGAAAAGGCAGGGCTCCCTGTCGCTCCTCCTTTCCCTCCGCATCCCTCCTCCCTCTCTTACTCTTCTCCTTCTCTCTTCAGTGAGGCTCCTTTATCCTCCCCTGGTCTGACCTACCCCAAAGGCCTTCATAATTAATTGTCCTTCAGAGACATGGAAAAGTTCAAAGTCTATATGGGTGCTGCCTTTACTGCCACCGCCTATTGTTTGACATTCATCTCCCTTTACCCTTGTCTCATTCTGTATTATGTCCCGCTCACATGGGAGAAGGCTGTTATCAATAAGAGCTGAGAGAGCTGCTGTCTCTGCGGCCGCAGGGGGGCTCAGGCCTTAGAGCAGGCACGGGGGCCCCCCCACAGAGGGCTTCTTTACCGCACTTCATCACCACGAGCCAACAATGCCTTCTTTCCACTGGCGCCGCATCGCTACACCTGAACCGTACCTTGTACCAGGGAGGTGTAATTCCAAGCAGGCCCAGCAGGTGGCACGGTGATTAAGGACACTGGTTTCTAATCTAAAGGTTGCCAAGCTGGGGTCCTAGGGGAACTTTCTGCACTGTGCACAAGAAAAACACATTTGTTGATTTCTTTGGCTAGCGATGAAAAAAAAAAATAACCAATTAAGCTAATCGTTATCTATATAATATGAAGAAGTGCAAGCATTTTAATGAATTAAAACAAATTTCTCTTTTGCCTTTAACTCTGAAACACTTGCCGTACTTTCCAAACGTGTGTTTAGCTAGCTAGGTCAGCAAGAATGACCTTTTTCTGAAGTGTGATATAAGGAAACCCTGCTGTATGCAGCCTCTAAAAGTGAGCATGTTTGGTACGATGCCAAGGTCAATCCACTTTTGCTTTTGGACGTGGGCTAGAAGCCCTGCCAGCACTGTTAAACGTGATTTATTTTTGCCAGTAGGAAAGCGTCTAAATAGGCTGTGTCAAACTTAATTCCTGCCGGGCTGCGTATATTGTGCATGTCTTCGCTTGGCGTTTTTGGTACAGGCGATGATTACAGGCATTTTGCCCATTATCCAGAAAGAAAAATGCCACTGGATTGTTGCATCTGTAAGTGCATAGTTGTAAGTGATGCATATAATTAATTAAATGTAGCAATTTAAGCTGGAGGAATGGACGGACTGGAATGAAGGCCAGCATGTGCAGGGCCCACCAGGAATTCACTGTCACACCGCTGCCCAAACAGAAATTTAGCTGCAGAGCGGCTTGTGGGTGAATAAGACTCTTTCTGATGAATCGGATTTGAGTTAGGGAGTCGATGACGCTCAGAGTTTTGCACTTATCTCTGGACTTCTGAGGACCCAAGTTTAGTGCAGCTGTGACAGCGACCCTCACAATAAGTGGTTTGTAGGGCCCGCTTGACCGTCATGTGATCCGAGTGGCCAGGGCACCAAGAATGACTCTGGCTATTGTGCTTTGACCACTGGCATCGTGGGGCACTCCTCCCCACTTCCCCTCGATAGATACTCTTTTACAAACCCCCCGATCAACCCCTTGATCAAAATGGCCACCCGGATTTAGCAGGGGCTGAATGACTGGTGACGAAATCCATCCTGTCCCCAAAAACCCGGCATAATAAATAGTCTCCGGTGAATCGTCCAGATCAGCTTTGGATAGATACATTTTTATACTAGCAGAATTTTTCCTGCACTGCTTTTATGCACTAAGCGTTTTACCGTAGCCTTTGTGTAGGGTATTCCAGGCCGGAATCCTCCAGGAATTACTCGCAGGTTAAGTATTCTTTTTGACAGATAGCATATAATTTGGATTTGGTGACTAGCCATGTGTTCTAGGTTAAAATTTCGGCCTTTGTCTGAAAGGCAAAAACGTTGTTTTTGTTTTTTTGGTGATTAATTTCTATGTAAATGTTAGCAGTGAGTCACTCTCATTCTCGACCGAACCCGCTGACAGAGAGCAGACTGTAATATGCTTCCTCCTGTTTCAATGCTGCCCCTCCTGTTAACGTCACAGTCTGCAGGTCATTGCCAGAGCGGAGTGTCCCCAGCAAAGCATGTCGGCAGTCAATGAAAACCGACTCCTGTCATATTACTGCACATATTATCATACTTCACTTCCGCGGAACGCAACTTGATATAAGTTGAAGGGCTTGCGATCGGCCATCACGTTATGATGGACAGGCGGGCTGTGTTGATTCTTTTTCTGTTTTTTTTCCTAGCATCCCCTCTGTCGCCCTGACACACGGTCTCCTCGCAGGACGCGGGGTGGCACCACGGCTCCTGAAGCCAAAATTACGCGCGATTTGCATGGATACGTGAGCCGGGCCAATTAGTCATCGTCCGAGGAAGATGTCAGCTGAGCAAATTTTACTTCGGATCTCGGTTCGTATTCACGTTGTAGAATGACCCGCATGTGAAAACTGAATAAGCTCCGATTAGGT